GATACAGTGCTCTACTTTGATGCAGGTACAGACAATAATGCAAGGCGGTTGATTTATTGAAAATTCTCTTCATTGTTTGTCATAATACTCGTAGGTACGAGAGTAAATAAGGTCTGTGGTAAAATGTTATACAACAAATAACAATTCATTGCCTGTACAACGATGAGGATGGTAAAATCATCCATGAAATCCATATGTATGTAATCCTCTGAAATGTTTTTCTTAGGTAAGTTTTATTTTCACCTAATACATTATTAAATCATCAATCGTCTCAGGGTAGGCGGTATGGCCGCTTTAAAGCAGGGCCATTGTCCCCTATATGCATGTATGGGCGACGTCGTTTGAATTCAAATTCATTCACAAAGGTGGACCATCCTACTCGAAATGACGAAACGGGCGAAGTGAGATACTCGAAATAGCAATGAGTAAATATCAGTATATTGACGGACGGACAGATATGATTCGTTTGAATCCAACCAATGAGTTTATTTGTTGATACGATCAAAGTTAAGCGGGTTGGAGCCAAACGCCCACGTTTTGTGACTGATGAAAATTTCTATTATCTTATTTAATTGAATCATATAATAACTGTTGATACCTTTTATCTTTTTATTGGCTCATCTCATGGGTACCACACAATCTTTACCAAAACAGTTTCTTTCTTCTTTTTATATGTTGTGTAAACAGTAGCTCGTATTAAGTTATTCAACAAAACAATAATGGAACGAAGCAGGTCCTGATACGTTGTCACCGTGTCACCGGCACGGCCCGGCACGGTCCGTAGCACGGCTCCCGTGTACCGTGTCACCATTGTTGGGACGTTGGGACACGACCCATTTCACTGACAGTGATTGAGGTACTGACAGTGTTACATGTTATTGCTAATACTCATACTGGTTCTGTTTTGCACGTGTTAGTGTGAATATTTTTTTATTACAAGATAAGTTACGTGTTTTTGAATAAAAATTATATTACAGTTAAGTTTTTGTGGTTTCCTAATTAGCGAAATCTATCCGGTCGTTCATGAGAGATACGACGACAATGAAAACCATACATTTAAAGATAATGGAGTATAGTTAATGTCAATTTGAAGTTGCATTTATCTTCACCCGTTGTAGCAGTAGCACTCTTGGGTTAGTATAACAAAAACATTCAAACAAAATAATCCATAACTTACTCAGTGATAATTTAGAAGTTCCGCTTACCTAGAAACAAAAAACAAAAAATTATAAATAAAAACATTCATAAAATGCAAACGATAAAATAAAGAGACGATTTATTCACTGGGAATATCTATTCTAAAGCCATTAAGAATAATAATGCATTTGTACGTGTTATAAAATCATATTAAAACGTAAGAAAACCGTCGCATAAACACATAACCTTGACAAAGTACAAAATACACAAGATAAAACTTTAATAAAGAGGTACATTAAGTTGATTTCAGATTAACAAAACTTCTGTTTAAAGGTAAGAAAAAAAAACCGGTAAGTTTTCAATGAAAATTGAACTATGCACAAAAGGATTTAAGGTAGTAAATTAGATTGAATATGTTTTGATTATATTTGAAGTGGTTGATGAATAATTTTATCATCATGTGTTAAAATTGCATGTCAAGGGTAAATTGCGGCATAGGTATTGCTATTATATTTTTAAATCGCGGACTGGCTGTATGGTGCCATACAAGGCAGTGTGAAACCTAGAAATCCTTGTGTTCAAATTGATTACTTTTCGAAATTGAATAACACAAATAAATATACGGTTGTGTGTAATTAAAGTTATTAAATAATAACTTTAAAAGCAATAAGTTTCAAAGTTTAGAGATTACATGTAAAGACGTTAAAGTTTCAACTAGGATGCAGTATCTCCATATACACATCAGAATGTAATGGTAACATTATTCAATACTTTAATAGCAATATTGTAATAGCACAAAATCATATAAATCTGTATTTCATTATCATTTGAATAAAGATTAAACAAGAGACGCGTTTAAAACAGAGCCAGTAAGTAATAAATATGCCAAAAGAAATCCAACTTACGCTCCGATGTATTTATATCTCATTTCACCTTTCCCAAACTACTTAAGAATACATTACGTTTTCAATTTCAGAGTATTCTACATCCGCCCTTATCAAGGCTGTTGTTACAGCATCTTAGGGTGTTACTACACCAATCAATCGATCGTCAATCGATGCCATCGAACGATTTCGATCGACATTTTTTACCAGTCCAATCTACACTCGATCGCCATTGATCGATTGACTGGTATCCGTTGATCAATTATAGCTACCAAACCAAACGATCAACTTCGACCGATGCAAGCGATGGCGTCGATCGCCGATCGTTCGATTGGTATGGTCACACCCTTAGTCACTTTAGTCACTTGTATTCAAAGCGTGCTTATATTTAAACCAGAAATCACTTCGTACCATTCTCGTGATATGACTCATTTCGGAAATTATAGTGTTCTTGTCCTGTCTTACGTCAGTATTAAATGTAACTTGATACGTTATTGTGTAGGTAGCCTGGGTAGATGCACTTTGAAATCAGTGGGAGGTTAGGACTCATTAGACGCTAGACAAGACGCCAATGCTGTTATGCAAGGCCGAAATGATTTGAAGTCATATGAAACTTTGATTGTTATTGATATTCTATATTAACAAACGTATTGCGCGTATTTGCACAATAGATAATAAGAGATCAAAGTTCATGAAACAGCATTGATTTTTGCGTTGCTAGTTAAATATTTTTGCTGACATTTTCAACAGGTACTTACGTATGGTCGAAATTAATAACCGATTTTAAACCAAAATCTATAAAATCGATCAAATTTTGTCAGAAATAACCGAAGTCTTTCACAAAATCTTAGAAGTTGGCAGTCTGATACCATAGGCTAAAATATTCCTGTTGCTGATATGACAGATCACGTGTAAAATATCCGTGACTGGAGTCACTTGTGAGTTATGCATGTTAATGACAGTCATAATTATTTGATTGCTCACTCGCTCTGATTGCTTGTCATCAGAGAAACTAATACAAGTAATAATAGTCCTTAATGATTGGAAAATACTGACTATGTATTAAATATTTGTAGGTATAATTAAATTTGATTTCCACAGCAGTATGACGTGACGTCATAGTCTAGCAGCACCGCGACAAGCGCCCCTGTATGAATCACGCGAGGAAAGCCCACAATATTGTGACGTCATCGCATCGCATCTAACAGCCATTTTAGTACTGTAATAGCTTAGTGCACTCGTTGGTTATGTAAGAAATGTACAATTATGCTGCGACGCAGTCGCTATATGTAGATTATTAAGAACTAACTACAATGCTGAGAATGGTCACAGATTGTTTGCTTTTTATATAGATTTTTACGTCAGTCCGTTTGGTTTTTCCCCTTATTTGAATCTCATATCCGTCTGGACGAAAGAGTAAATTGTCAAGGAGACTACACTGCCTACAAAGCATAGATTTATAAATATAACATAGATGTCTGGCTATTGTCTACGGGTAGAATTTAG